AAATCTTTTCTCAACTCCAAGAAACAATAGAATCAAATGCTCTTCATGGATGGAAGCATCTTAAGATCCTTTACCAAATTGTGAATTCCATGGGCCCAGGGTCTCGCATTTTCCCATGGGGAGGAGGTAAAGTTTGCTATAGTTTATATAGGAAAACTAGATTTTTGAGCATAATTTGTTTAGTTTCCATTGGAAATATTTCAAACTGGGGTAGAATTATGAGTTAAGGATGACAGCTTAATGGTATGTCCATTTTGATCCTGATTGACCTCCAAGGGCAGATAGGTGGGGCCAAAAGGAGTCCAATTGACTTAAATTTCAAAAATCTTCTTCTCAATATCCAGATATGGTAGAATCAAATACTCTTCATGAAAGAAAGCATCTTAAAGTGCTTTAATTACCAAAATGAGTCTCGCATATCTTCCTGGGGAGGAATTGTTTTTTAGACTTTACTGTAATTTTCATAGAAAAATAGTATTTTTAATCATAACAATGGTTATTTCCCACTGGAAATTATCAGTATTATCAGTATAGGGTAACAGTTTTGATGGTATACGTGTATTGACACTGTCAATATTCAGTGTCACAATTTCTGTTTCATGACACTTGATAACTATCCTTTGACCTTTATATTCAATATTGCTTATCTCAGGTGACGGTCAAGGTTGCTAGGCCTCTTTTGTGATATCTGTGTAATCATATCCAGGCATAACATACAGTTAGCAACTGTTTTTTGGTGAATACGATGATTTATCAACCTGAGAAAGTGATATTTCACAAGGCCAGGTCATTAAACAATGTCACCAGAATCAAAAGAGTGTATCAGTCGAACTTTTTGTGATGTTTTAGTAATTCATATACACAAAATAGAGATATTGACTGCAAGTGTCACAATATCTGTTTCATGACATGATAACTATCCTTTAACCTTTATATTCAATATTGCTTATCTCGGGTGACCGTTAAGGCTGCTAGGCCTCTTGTAATTCATATGCCAGCGTTAGAAGCTTTGACTACAATAGGTCATAGACTGTAAATTTTAGTATTTTTTATGATTGGATCTGTTACAAATTAGGCCCCAGGAAAACTATCGAAAAATGTCCTTGAAAATCTTCTGGAACTTTTTCGAGCAATGTTTTCTGTGAGTGTTTCATTTACTTTTGAACAATTTTTTTATTGGAAAAAAATGAAAGATTTGTTCTTTGTGATTTACTTATAGTTTTAGGTCATCAGATGAATAAGACAGAGATCAATGTTTTCATTAAAACACCTCCCTACTGTACGTTTTCCAAGATTTTTATGAAATTTCAGGGCATTACCTATGGACGTTTCATGGACATTTTCCATTAACAATTTGCCCAAATTATCCATGAAATTTTGAGGTATTTTCCATAGACTTTTCTATGATGAATGAAAACTTGAGCAAGTTCGTGTTTCATTAGAGTTATCTCCCCTGGAGGAAATAATTTGTTAAGACTTGTTCTGAAAGTTCTTCTGTGTACTTCTGCATTAATTTCTGCCCTCGTCATATGTCTAGCAAAGTGTTCCTCAACACTTCACCAAGTTATAACCACAATTATCAGCTGATGAGGTGATTAAATTTCATATTAAAAGATTCTGGAGGTCACTGTTAAAGCAGACACATTAGCTGTAAACTGACACACAATTTTATACCTCAAATGTTGATAGTTTAGTAACTATTTTTGAACACATCAAGATAGGAATTCAGCAGTAATTTGATTACTTTGAAAGTATATATATGTCATTTGGCAGAAAGATACTGAATATTTTAAGTAACGGTCGTAAACCAACCAGCTCAACCATACTTCATTTGTCCTGGTCATTGGGCTACTGGAATGGTAGTAAGCCGATTTTGATGGCTAGCTCAATTTCACATTTTGAAGACAGTTAAACCATTTGTCAATTCACTTCTTATATTTATTTATGTAATAGATCGCCCTTAGAATTTTACTGTAACTTGTAAAGTGTTCAGTAGTCATGACTTGCTCATATTGCAATCAGCTGATCACCGATACCTACCACCAGATAGTTCTTGAAATAAAAGCACCATCCTCACACAATATGATACTGTATTTCCATGGACTCTTCTAGTCAATATATCGCCTTTATTCAAGAGAGCAGACATCGTTTTTGGCTAGTTTCCGGGCCTGATCTGCCCGATTCTCCTGAAAATAATAGGCACGTGAGCCGGAAGTTAAGTTTTACATTGGGCGTCTGTTGTAACCAGATCAAAAGGGAGACAGTCACAGTGTTCAATATCTCTTTCAGTGCCAACAATAGTTAAGTTAGGGATGCATTGGATACAAAATAAAATGGTGAAATACAAGAGAATCTCTGAAATTTACAGACATGTCTAGGAAGTCCATGGTTTCTCCGTGGACATTGTCCATGAAATTTACAGACATGCCCATGAAGACAATGGACATCGTCTGTGAAGTTCAGGACTTTGACATGTCCATGAAATATAAGGACATGTTCATGAAATCAATGGACATTGTCCATGATACTGACAGACATGTCTATGAAGTTCATGGCTTCTCCATAGACATTGTCCATGGACTTTGACATATCAATGAAATTTACAGATATGTCCATGAAATTCAGGGACATTGTCAATGGAATTTATTTTCTATAGAAAAAGATGGTTTTCCATGAAAATTGATTTTTTTCCAATGAAAATGTACAGCTAGGCGTGGTCCAAATTTACTTAATATTCCTTACATGACTTGAGAAAATTTCTCAGCTTAAAAGTGTTCATGGGAAAACATTACCTCTGTTAAGTTATAAAAAAACAACATAGAAATGGACATTTTCCTTAAACTCCGTAACTCCTTTCAGTAGAGAATTCCTTTAGATAAAGAAACTGATACCTGCCTTCACAGATAATAGACAGACAAGAACAATTACATTCAACAGCTCGATTTCCTGTTCTTTGTTTCAAATTTTTGCGATTAAGTAGATGCTCCAAATCACCCAACAGGCATGCATAGAAGTAACACTTGAGGTTGTAGTTATTCATTATAGTTGCAACCTGATCGTTGACATTCACAGCTCAAGGAAACTATCAAGTATTTAGAAAACATGTCCTTTTTTCAATATTTTGAATAGAAATATACACTCTGTTGATTTTACAACATTTGCAAAACAGGTTATTTCAACATATATTAATCACTCTTGTTGGCCCGGATGTAAGTGTACTAGAGGTCTTGTTGTGGGAGGAAAATGGAGTACCTGGGGAAAACCCATGTGGATTGGCAGGTGACTCCTTACCTTTTCACATCCATTCCGGGAATCGAACCCCGGATGGCTAGGTGAAAAGGCAAGTGCTCTACCCAACCTTTCATTATTTAAGAAGGTTGACTCCTTTTGGAGTAAGAAAATAAAACCAGTGATAAGGAATGCGTTACAACAGTTCCCAAGTTTTTTTCCTTTCCTGACTCTCATGTACACTGTGTACTGTTGATTTCATGTAGGGTAGTACTTCCTCGTTGAAGAGGTTTGCATTGGTTCACAATTGATTAGATTTTGTGATATCTGTGAATTGTATCCATGCATACCATACAATTATCAACCTGTTTTTAGGTGAATACGATGATTTGTCAACCTGAGAAAGTGATATTTCTCAAGGCTAGGTGAATATAATGATTTATCAACCGGCCTCGGCCTTGGGAAATATCACTTTCTCAGTTTGATAAATCATCGTATTCACCTTATGTTTAATTATATGATATTTCACTTTACACTTACAAAACGGTCATTTTTGTCATTTGATAGAGAAGGGGTGTGTAAAATATTCTTTGATACGTCCTTACTACAATGGAAAAAAAGACAACAGCATTATGATATTGAACTTACTAGATAATTTGATATTGCTAAAATTCAACAAAATTAATAGAAATACATCTACATGTTCAAGATATTGTGCAACAAAATATTCACCCCAATCTATCCAATTCAGTGATGGAAAAATTTTCCAAATCGACTTGCTTGTTTTTTTTCCCGATAAACAAAACTTAAAATCTTTACTGTTACATCTGTTGTCTTTCTGGTCTTTTTGGAATCTTCTAATCTTCCACCAAACTTGGAAATTGTTCCAAATTTATTGTTGCAAATCTTCAGCTGTCTGCCATATGTTCAACGATGTCATAAGCACATACTGTTCTGATGGGTATGAACTAGTGTTGTTAGTTTGTTATATCTACCCAGAATGCTATGATAATGTTACGGAAAGTCCCTTGTTACTATATTTGGGTATGAACTGGTGTTGTTGGTTTGTTATATCTACCCAGAATGCTATGATAATGTTACGGAAAGTCCCTTGTTACTATATTTGGGTATGAACTGGTGTTGTTGGATTGTTAAATCTACCCAGAATGCTATGATAATGTTATGGAAAGTCCCTTGTTACTATATTTGGGTATGAACTGGTGTTGTTGGTTTGTTATATCCACCCAGAATGCTATGATAATGTTACGGAAAGTCCCTTGTTACTATATTTGGGTATGAACTGGTGTTGTTGGTTTGTTATATCCACCCAGAATGCTATGATAATGTTACGGAAAGTCCCTTGTTACTATATTTGGGTATGAACTGGTGTTGTTGGTTTGTTATATCCACCCAGAATGCTATGATAATGTTATGGAAAGCCCCTCATTATATTTATATCTATATTTGGGTACGAATGAGTAATGTTGGGTTGATTTAGGGTTGATGTAATGTTTGAGCATTGTGGGAATATTTCAGAACTGGCCAATCAGAAAACAGGAAAAAAATGCTTTCATACCATAAAGGCATAAAACACTCATTTTCTGAAATAATTTTTCCTGATAAAAATGTCTGCTGGGTATTTTATTTTGTTTTGCTATTCTTGAAATTAAAGCTCCTACAAACATTGTTAATTATACATTATGTCAACGATTAGTTGAACAAAAAGTTTGAAGCTGTCTTGTTTACTCATGAGATTTCTTTTGTTTTTACAGCCACAAGGGGGATCAGAGACAGGTGATTCGGACTATGTAAGTATCGCACTTCAGTCTTCCGAACTTATGTACGAACTTGTCAACACATCATAATCAATTTCTAATCCAGATACTTTGTTATCTGTACTTAATAATGAAGTAAGATGAACACATTTGAAAAGGGAAGGAAAAAAAAATAAAAAAAATCGATTGGTGAAAACTTCATTTTGAAAGAACATTTCACACTTTGCCATGACCATGCATATCTTAGACCTTCTAATGACTGGATATTATCATAAGGTGGTATCTCCGACCTTTTGTGTGTCATCCCAAATCATCGCAATTGTAGTCGTATCATAACAAACTGAACAATTCTTCTGTTTGGATGAAAGATTTTTGATGAAAGATAGTATGTAGTATAATTGGATAAAGAAGACAAACAGGTTGTGTCTTATAGACTAAGGGTCATGGATCAGACCCCGCGTAGTGTACAGAAGGGATGGGGTCAATAATCAATAAAAAAAGGGAAAATCTGAGAAAATAAAAGCACCTTTTCTTCCACTTATATAACGGGATTTTGACCAAATTATGTCAACAACATTATTTGATGAAGGAATTGATTATGAATCATATTCCTCAAATATCATATTCCATATTTATTCACAAAAATGAATCTGTCCATAAATATACCCACTGTTTGTGGAATCGTCTAGGTTAAAGTAGTCAGAAAAACAGTAGTCCACAAATATACCCACTGTTTGTGGAATCGTCTAGGTTAAAGTAGTCAGAAAAACAGAAGTTTACAAATATACCCACTGTTTGTGGAATCGTCTAGGTTAAAGTAGTCAGAAAAACAGAAGTTCACAAATATACCCACTGTTTGTGGAATCGTCTAGGTTAAAGTAGTCAGAAAAACAGTAGTCCACAAATATACCCACTGTTTGTGGAATCGTCTAGGTTAAAGTAGTCAGAAAAAAAGTAGTCCACAAATATACCCACTGTTTGTGGAATCGTCTAGGTTAAAGTAGTCAGAAAAACAGTAGTTCACAAATATACCCACTGTTTGTGGAATCGTCTAGGTTAAAGTAGTCAGAAAAACAGAAGTTCACAAATATACCCACTGTTTGTGGAATCGTCTAGGTTAAAGTAGTCAGAAAAAAAGTAGTTCACAAATATACCCACTGTTTGTGGAATCGTCTAGGTTAAAGTAGTCAGAAAAAAAGTAGTCCACAAATATACCCACTGTTTGTGGAATCGTCTAGGTTAAAGTAGTCAGAAAAAAAGTAGTTCACAAATATACCCACTGTTTGTAGGAAAAAAAGTCACAAATATACCCACTGTTTGTGGAGGTTAAAGTAGTCAGAAAAAAAGTAGTTCACAAATATACCCACTGTTTGTGGAATCGTCTAGGTTAAAGTAGTCAGAAAAAAAGTAGTTCACAAATATACCCACTGTTTGTGGAATCGTCTAGGTTAAAGTAGTCAGAAAAAAAGTAGTTCACAAATATACCCACTGTTTGTGGAATCGTCTAGGTTAAAGTAGTCAGAAAAAAAGAAGTTTACAAATATACCCACTGTTTGTGGAATCGTCTAAAGTAGTTTCAAAATATACCCACTGTAGTCAGAAAGTAAAAAAAAAGTAGTTCACAAATATACCCACTGTTTGTGGAATCGTCTAGGTTAAAGTAGTCAGAAAAAAAGTTCACAAATATACCCACTGTTTGTGGAATCGTCTAGGTTAAAGTAGTCAGAAAAAAAGTAGTTCACAAATATACCCACTGTTTGTGGAATCGTCTAGGTTAAAGTAGTCAGAAAAAAAGTAGTCCACAAATATACCCACTGTTTGTGGAATCGTCTAGGTTAAAGTAGTCAGAAAAAAAGTAGTTCACAAATATACCCACTGTTTGTGGAATCGTCTAGGTTAAAGTAGTCAGAAAAAAAGTAGTTCACAAATATACAAATATAGTTCACAAATATACCCACTGTTTGTGGAATCGTCTAGGTTAAAGTAGTCAGAAAAAAAGTTCACAAATATACCCACTGTTTGTGGAATCGTCTAGGTTAAAGTAGTCAGAAAAAAAGTTCACAAATATACCCACTGTTTGTGGAATCGTCTAGGTTAAAGTAGTCAGAAAAAAAGTAGTTCACAAATATACCCACTGTTTGTGGAATCGTCTAGGTTAAAGTAGTCAGAAAAACAGAAGTTCACAAATATACCCACTGTTTGTGGAATCGTCTAGGTTAAAGTAGTCAGAAAAACAGAAGTTCACAAATATACCCACTGTTTGTGGAATCGTCTAGGTTAAAGTAGTCAGAAAAAAAGTAGTTCACAAATATACCCACTGTTTGTGGAATAGTCAGAAAAAAAGTTCACAAATATACCCACTGTTTGTGGAATCGTCTATACCCACTGTTAAAGTAGTCAGAAAAACAGAAGTTCACAAATATACCCACTGTTTGTGGAATCGTCTAGGTTAAAGTAGTCAGAAAAACAGAAGTTCACAAATATACCCACTGTTTGTGGAATCGTCTAGGTTAAAGTAGTCAGAAAGAAGTTCACAAATATACCCACTGTTTGTGGAATCGTCTAGGTTAAAGTAGTCAGAAAAAAAGTACAAGAACACAAATATACCCACTGTTTGTGGAATCATCTAGGTTAAAGTAGTCAGAAAAAAAGTAGTTTACAAATATACCCACTGTTTGTGGAGTCACAAATATACCCACTGTTTGTGGAATCGTCTAGGTTAAAGTAGTCAGAAAAAAAGTAGTTCACAAATATACCCACTGTTTGTGGAATCGTCTAGGTTAAAGTAGTCAGAAAAACAGAAGTTCACAAATATACCCACTGTTTGTGGAATCGTCTAGGTTAAAGTAGTCAGAAAAACAGAAGTTCACAAATATACCCACTGTTTGTGGAATCGTCTAGGTTAAAGTAGTCAGAAAAAAAGTAGTCACAGTTTGTGGAAGTTCACAAATATACCCACTGTTTGTGGAATCGTCTAGGTTAAAGTAGTCAGAAAAAAAGAACAAATATACCCACTGTTTGTGGAATCACAAATATACCCACTGTTTGTGGAATCGTCTAGGTTAAAGTAGTCAGAAAAAAAGTAGTTCACAAATATACCCACTGTTTGTGGAATCGTCTAGGTTAAAGTAGTCAGAAAAACAGAAGTTCACAAATATACCCACTGTTTGTGGAATCTTATTTATACAAGGGTAGAAAAAAAGTAGTTCACAAATATACAAGGGTAGGGAGCTTACTTATACAAGGGTAGGGAGCTTACTTATACTAGGGTAGGGAGCTTGCTTATACAAAAGGAGGGAGGTTATTTATACAAGGGTAGGGAGCTTATTTATACAAGGGTAGGGAGCTTATTTATACAAGGGTAGGGAGCGTATTTATACAAGGGTAGGGAGCGTATTTATACAAGGGTAGGGAGCTTATTTATACAAGGGTAGGGAGCTTATTTATACAAGGGTAGGGAGCTTATTTATACTAGGGTAGGGTGCTTATTTATACTAGGGTAGGGAGCTTATTTATACTAGGGTAGGGAGCTTACTTATACAAGGGTAGGGAGCTTATTTATACAAGGGTAGGGAGCTTACTTATACTAGGGTAGGGAACTTATTTATACTAGGGTAGGGAGCTTACTTATACAAGGGTAGGGAGCTTATTTATACAAGGGTAGGGAGCTTATTTATACAAGGGTAGGGAGCTTATTTATACAAGGGTAGGGAGCTTATTTATACAAGGGTAGGGAGCTTGCTTATACTAGGGTAGGGAACTTGTTTATACAAGGGTAGGGAGCTTATTTATACAAGGGTAGGGAGCTTATTTATACAAGGGTAGGGAGCTTGCTTATACTAGGGTAGGGAACTTGTTTATACTAGGGTAGGGAACTTGTTTATACAAGGGTAGGGAGCTTGCTTATACTAGGGTAGGGAACTTGTTTATACAAGAGTAGGGAGCTTATTTACACAAGGGTAGGGAGCTTGCTTATACAAGGGTAGGGAGCTTGCTTATACTAGGGTAGGGAGCTTGCTTATACTAGGGTAGGGAACTTGTTTATACAAGAGTAGGGAGCTTATTTATACAAGGGTAGGGAGCTTGCTTATACTAGGGTAGGGAACTTATTTATACAAGGGTAGGGAGCTTGCTTATACTAGGGTAGGGAGCTTGCTTATACTAGGGTAGGGAACTTATTTATACAAGGGTAGGGAGCTTATTTACACAAGGGTAGGGAGCTTATTTAAGTATAGATATGGTATAGTCCTTAAAAGTGGATCTCAAGATGTCATTATCTTGGTAATATTACAGTGAACAAAACATTGTTATCATATCATAGTTGAAATAGTTGTATGAGTAATACAGAATCTAGGGACAAAACACAGGCATTTGTACAGACAGACATTTGTACCTACAGATGTTTGTATTAACAGATATTTATGCAGACAGACTTTTGCACAGACATTTTTACAGATGTGTGTACAGACAGACATTTTACAGATGTTTGTACAGACGGACATTTTTACAGACTTTTGTACAGACAGACATTTGTACAGACAAACATTTTTACAGACATTTGTACAGACAAACATTTTTACAGACTTTTGTACAGACAGACATTTTTACAGATGTTTGTACAGACAGACATTTTTACAAGACATTTTTACAGACAGACAATATGTATTACAAACAGGTACTACTCTGACTTTTTCACTGTCGTCTTTATGACAGGCATGTTATAAACTGATCATTATTCTGTTTTCTGTCCTGACAGGGATATTTCTGTTTTCTGTCCTGACAGAGAATATGAATTTGCAACTACAAATCTCATAGAAGATTTTGTTTTATTTTCCCTTTCTCCATATTATCCTGTTGGTTGTATGCCAATCAATATCTGTTTATTATGGTGCAGAGAAAATGTGTTTGAAGCCCCGTAATATGGGTTTGAAGGACCAAAGACACACAGCTGTTCAGCTAATGTAATTTACTTTTATCAAAAGTTGAATGGACCCTAACGAGAAAAGCCAATTTTAACTACAATTTTTATTTTCTGCCAATAAAACAAGCTTTGTAATAAGATTAAAGCAAACGAAAAATAAGATTTTATTCTGAATTAGTTTTCCTGTTTTTAGCTGTGACTATTTTAGAAACCAAATTAGTTTTAATAGCAGGGAGATGTTGTTACTACCTGATAAATGTTTAAGGTGAGCGTGTTTTGTCAGTAGCTCTTGGTACCAGATTATAGGGTGTTTCATCTTACTGAAATTTTTCAAACGAACCATTAATTTGACTTTGTGTAATTGATGCTAACAGTTGATTTAACACTGACATATTGGTAATTTGTGGGGTTAGTTGTTTCATTTGCTCAAAAGCAAATTACGATTTTTTTAAAAAAATTTTAACAGTTGAATCATTTTGTTAAAAGTCCTTAAAATCAAGTTTCATTAAATTGTTCATTTACTTTGAATGTTTAGTTGTTGCTGTTGATGGTTTTAGTGCACAAGGAAACTGAATTAATTTGATTTAATTCTTCATCTTTTAACTTGTCTTGCGACCATTGTTCAATTAAGGTTAAAAGTTGAAAACTATGAAGGGGGGGGGACTTGACATCCAAGTAATGTTACTGTTACTTCAGTACCTGATGTGTTTGACTTGAAACCCGATTCTACTGAATGTGCTGTTTTTACCACCTATCCTTACTTTTAGACTTCATCCCTAGTAGATTTGTCATAGAAAACATTGAGATTCTACTGTTTAGTCCCTACCTATACTGTCCTAAGGAGACACAAACTTCATCCCTAGTAGATTTGTCATAGAAAACATTGAGATTCTACTGTTTAGTCCCTACCTATACTGTCCTAAGGAGACACAAACTTCATCCCTGGTAGATTTGATGAAAAAACCATTCAGTCTAATATTTTGTCTCTACCTGTGACATTGGTGATGGTTAGAGGTTTTACAACGGTGATTAAATATACGACAATGTTTATTAAACATGTGACTATGGCGATTAAATATGTGACATTCGTGATGAATTGTGTGACAATGGTGATTAACTTTGTGGTGATGGCGATTAAATATGTGACATTGTTGATGAAGTGTGTGACGATGGCGATTGAAGATGTGACATTGGTGATGAAGTGTGTGACATTGGTGATGAAGGGTGTGACATTGGTGACGAACTGTGTTACAATGGTGATGAACTGTGTTACATTGTTGATGAACTGTGTTACAAGGTCGATTATATGGGTGATGATGGCAAAAACAAATCCTATTGAGGATACAGTTTCACTGTCAAAAGCATAAAAAGACGGGAAGAAACATCTCGATAAATTTACTTGCAAAATACTGCACTTAACCTGTTACTGAAGTTAAATCCAGGTTTTCTAGTGTTACGAACATATTGATTTTTTCAAAAAAGATTCACACTAAACGGCACTGTACCCAATGGGAGACCAGGAAGGGTTAATGCACTTTTCGTGAAGTATAGTACAAAATTCAGCTTTGTATTGGATTACTTCTACGTGATCTGAGGTTAACAGTTAGGGTTATTGGTAAGAGTGGAATACGATGTCCAGTAAACAGTTGGATTTTCTACGAACAGCTATTTTATCTGAACTCTTTGTGTATCAAGTTTCAGATCAAGATGTACAAAGTTTGGATACCACTTCACGAAATAGAAATTGGGATATATTAGATTTCAGAGGCCAGTAAGGCACGATACACCTAACAGCTTGAGTTCCGCGGAGTTCAATCTTAACCCCAAATATATCCTATATATACTTGAGTTTCAACTTTAGATTAAGCTTGTACTCAAATATCAATGGCATTGGGCCTCTTTTTTCCTGATCAAATGTTTTCACACTAAAAATGTTTTGAAGATGTTTTAAGGATCTGGTGTCTCCTCAGTAACTGCCATTATCACTAGCGAGTCTATTTCTGAACTGTGAAGTTGCTTCCATAATAGAACTGTTCTATTGACCAGTACAGTAAAAACATTCTAGACAGCATTAAAGCTACACATTTATGTTGTGTTTATGGTAGTTTTATCAGACAGTGTAAATACAACAGGTTATTGATAGGATCGATACAATAAAATCCAAATGCTAGATTAATCTGGACATGATTGAATTGCTGGCTAAGAAAGACCTTCATGATTATTTACTGTCAGACCATTATATGAGAATGTCTTGCTGTGGAACAAACAAATAGACATGTCTTGTTGAAAGAGTAGTGTTAACTTAGTTTGGCCAAAAAAATAAAAGTGTGAGTAGTTTATAAGAACATAGCTTGATGTGCAATTTATTTAGAAGAAAGAAATTTAGGTGCTGTCTTGACAACAAGGCAGAAATCTAGGTCTTGTCACGGCAACTGCTCAGGAATCTTGGTGTTGTCAAGACAACTGGTCAGGAATCTAGGTGTTGTCAAAACAACTGGTCAGGAATCTAGGTGTTGTCATGTAGACAAGATTTTGTGATGAAAAGTAGATAGTTTTGTGACCACTAGGCAGGAATCTGATATTGTTGTGGTAACTAGACAGGAACTTGTTTTTATTTGAGAGAACTTAGGAGAAGACTTTGATGTTTAGAACAGATAATTTGGAATTTGTCTGAAGAACAAGGCAGAAATTGAATATATTATCCGTAGTATTCAGCACTAACTAGTGTTTTCTGAAAGGATATGGGTGTCAAGGTCTAGGTGTGGATGTATGTTTTAATTGGCTCTCTCAGGGTAGAAATGATCAGCACCATGTCTGTCTCCTGGATTATCTCTGTCTACACTCATCCTTATGGATTAGCCTCATCCATCTTGGCAGACTTGTACAATTCGCTTTGTTGTGGGGTTACATTTTAGATCAATTTTTGGTTAGTGGTAGGTCTGATCTGAGGAAACGGTGGGGTGCTTGTCCAAAGACAAAGTGGTCTTGGTTTCCCTAAGAAGAAAGAAAAACCAGTAACGTTTTATATTTTAAATGTTTGATTCAAGATTGGCATGCATCATACATGTTATCTAATCAACACTTGTGCTTTAATGCACAGTTATTGGTCAAAGAGATTGTATCCATGTAATCTATATCAGCTGTCATGACCTTGAGATCCACAGCTTAGACCATGGCATCTGATGATGAGTTAACTTGGCTGTGCCCTTTCTCATGACCTTGACCTTGATATTTCAATCATATATTTAATTTAATGAGCTAGAAAGTACAATCATGGTATCACAAATGACCTTGACATCACAAATTTGTTCAGACTTTGCGATTCCTGTCTATGACCTTGGCATCACAAATTTGATCAAACTTTGGGGTTACTGTTTATGACCTTGAAATTTAAAGTTTACTTGGATTTGTTGATACCTTAGAACACACAACCTTGACAACACAACACCGATCCAAACAGAAGTGTTTACCAGGGACACATCAATGATGAAACAAGTGAAATATACACTAAAATCTGCTAATATTTAACAATGACAGGATAATTAGAATGAATATTTAACAATGATAGGATAATTAGAATGAATATTTAACAATGACAGGATAATTAGAATGAATATTTAACAATGATTGAATACTTAGAATGAATATTTAACAATGATTGGATGATTAGAATGAATATTTAACAATGACAGGATATGATTAAAATGAATATTTAACAATGACAGGATGATTAAAATGAATATTTAACAATGACAGGATAATTAGAATGAATATTTAACAATGACAGGATGATTATTTAAATGAATATTTAACAATGACAGGATAATTAGAATGAATATTTAACAATGACAGGATGATTAAAATGAATATTTAACAATGATAGGATGATTAAAATGAATATTTAACAATGACAGGATAATTAGAATGAATATTTAACAGTGATAGGATAATTAGAATGAATATTTAACAATGACAGGATATTAAAATGAATATTTAACAATGACAGGATAATTAGAATGAATATTTAACAATGACAGGATGATTAGAATGAATATTTAACAATGACAGGACGATTAGAATGAATATTTAACAATGACAGGACGATTAGAATGAATATTTAACAATGATAGGACGATTAGAATGAATATTTAACAATGATAGGATAATTAGAATGAATATTTAACAATGATAGGATAATTAGAATGAATATTTAACAATGATTGGATAATTAGAATGAATATTTAACAATGACAGGATGATTAAAATGAATATTTAACAATGACAGGATAATTAGAATGAATATTTAACAATGACAGGATGATTAGAATGAATATTTAACAATGACAGGATAATTAGAATGAATATTTAACAATGACAGGATGATTAGAATGAATATTTAACAATGACTGAATATTTAACAATGACAAGATAATAAGAATGAATATTTAACAATGATTGGATAATTAGAATGAATATTTAACAATGATTGGATAATTAGAATGAATATTTAACAATGATTTTAACAATGGATAATAAAAATGAATATTTAACAATGACAGGACGATTAGAATGACATGTGTTTTTTTATGTCATTTGATAGGATGTGTTTTTCCTGTTTCAGATGAACGGTGGCGGGGACTGGGAATATGAAGAGATTCCACTGGAGAGGGTAAGTTGTTTCTGATAATGCAATTGATCACCACTGAAGTAAAATTCTGGTGACCCATTCTCTTAGCCAATCAGCTCTCTCTGTATTCATGGTTTGAAGACATGTGATATTCCCATGATTCTCCATTTTGGCTGTGACTTTATCAGACTTTCTAGATTTAGAAAATTCTGTGCTGGCGGTCAAATTAAAAGAGTTCAGTAAAAAGTAGTATACAGAATGGGGCGAAGATAAACCTAATGGTATGACCTAGATGTCATGTTTGACCAGAGAACTGTTGATACCTAAGGAGCTGAACCTGTGTTTGTTTCTGGTCTCTTTCACTTAATTCAGGCCTATAATATGTTATAGATATATCAAAGGCAAAGGTCACTAAACTCTAAAGGTCAAAAACACCCATGGTCAAGGGGACTTTGAGATAAAAAGATAAATTTATAATCTGTTTCTAGAACTTCTCATCCACTGAGAGAATATAGATCATTGAAATTACAGTAGATGTTGGGTGACTTGACAAAGTGATGTTTACCACGTTTGGGGTTGTATACCTGATTTCAAAGTCATTTTTCAGTTGAAAGTCATATCGTCAATCTGGGACTTTAATTCTCTATTGCTAAAGTGAAATTTTTATGCATGCATGGAGGAAATGATTGTGTTTGTCTGCACATTGTAGTAAAGTTTTGTTGGATGGTTATGTGATACTTATCCAGCCTCAGATTTCTAAAGAATTAGGATAGAAAAAAGTCAGTTTGAGACAAAATGTCAGATTCAACTACAACAATTTTATTTTAATTGATTTAAAAGAATCAAGAATACTGTGGTTCAGGCCTGTTTATGACTAAAATCAAATTTGTAAAATATTTACTTCTGTTTGGTCTACAATCTCCAGATGTTGCATACTGGTGTTGAGTAACATAGGTTGTATCCAAAGTTGGTGCCCAATATATCATTAAGTAGGGGAAGTTAACTGTATTGTTTCTCATAATATGTTTGCAGCTGTTCTGATTGCCCCCTAGCGAAATATCTGCTTTGTGATCACTATGTTTTCTGCTGTTCTTATTTCCTCCCCATTAAATGTTTATCTTGTTATCCTTGAGTTTGCCACTGTTCTGATTGCTCCTCTATGAAATATAGTGGTCTTGTCACTGTTGAATTTTCTGCTGTTCTGATTGCCTCCCAGTCATTAGTACAGACATTCTGATTACCTCCCCATCATTGGTGCAGACATTCACACATGATTTTTCTCATTGTCTTTGACATGATAAATGTTTAAAAAGATTTGTTAATGGAGGATTTAATATAAATGGCAACTGGTGAAAATTGTACTTTTATTGTTCAGTCTTATAGATAGGGGACCCGTAAATGGTTCCATTATCACCCGGCCTATATATATGTATACTCACTAAAAGTGCTGATTAAATTTGTATTGGAAACACTTTGGATCTTGTTTATGTCCTGTGCCTGTATAATTATGTTTTGATGGGAAAACTTTTTTGAAGGGATTCAATAAACTTACATACATGTCAGACACTTTCCAGAGAACGAACTAATTTCCTGACATTTTCAGTGAGAAAATGAGATCAATAATTATATTTTTATAACAGAATTAGGTTGCTGAGAAAAGGCCATCCAAACTGAAGTATGTGTTTCATGTAACTGGCCAATGAATCATTTCAGAGTATCAAGTGACATGGGTTTGATTGCTCTGAATTGTTGTTAGAATGTACCAACAACCAATGATTTGCTTGTGTGTTTATCTATTTGATTTTTTTTGGTTTAGTTTTAACGGTCTAATTCAGGTTGTATCAACTAGTCAAATTGTCTGGTATTTCCAAAAAAAAGAGGCAAAGTCCAAGAATATATAAGTTTTTCAGAAATTACTGCTTTATTTTCCCAAATTTATGAAGGTACAGGCTGCTACAAAACTAAAAAACAAAAAACATTTAGAAAACATAACAAGTTTTTAAAAATATGAAAAAAAGAGACGATTAAACTTCTTCCTGATCTAAACTGTTCTGTTGATCCATGTATGATTGTTAAATATAATTTTGTTTAATGTAAACTTTTGTCTCGTTGACCTTTGTATGGCAGAATTGTGTTTCTCTTGACCTTTGCCTGACCTTTGCCTAGCCTTTGCCTGACCTTTGTGTGCTTAACCTTACTTTTCTGATTGACCTTGATATTATGACCTTTTTGTGATTGACCTTTGTGTTAAAGAGATTGACCTAAATGACCTTTGTATAATTGACCTTTATGGTTTATAGGGGAACACTGGTCTTGGGTTCAGTATTGCGGGCGGTAGTGACAATCCTCACATCGGAGAGGACCCGGCAATATTCATCACAAAGATCATCCAAGGTGGCGCTGCTGCTGCTGATGGCAGACTCAAGTAAGTCTCAACCATTCTTGATTCTCTGTAATTCATTATTTCTTTATCCTCATGTTTATTTTCTTCATCATTTAGCAGTTTTTAATTTCAGAGATGATAGCAAATATCCGGACAACCTATGATTGTAAATGGTGTAAAATTAAGGTGTTTATATCCTGAATCTATATTGACTGCTAGAGGCCTTGTGGTGATCATGATTGAATACAAGAAGCCTTGGGGTGATCATGATCGAATACCAGAGACCTCGAGATGATCAGGATTGAATACCAGTGGCCTGGTGTGATCATGATTGAAAAACAGAGGCCTTGGGATGATAATGATTGAATACAAGAGGCCATGTGATTATCATAATTGAATACTAGATCAACCCAATAGGATGATCACTGAGAAAATCTTTCCCCAACCTGCACTGAAGAAAGACACTTTGCCAGTGTAGAACACTTTTTCTTACTCAGCACTAGCGTTTCTCAGACAAGTGTATTCCTTGTCTTACCCTAGGGTTGATATGAGGGAGAATCTCCCGTCAAAGCCTTGTGCTTACTAATTGATCCTCTCCTTCTGAGATTTGTGATCCAGCTCTCACCTCCAAAGGTGTAAACGCTTCTATTAATCCCCACATTTTATCATGGTGGGATTTCCTCGTCTCAAACAAGAGACGTGGATGCAAGGTGATGAAGTCATGTCAGCAGTACCAAACACTGAGACAACATCGTCACCACATATACACAACAAGTAGGGGTAGGGCAATCCTTTTTGACCAAGATAAGGAAGTCTCAAATCTTAGAGAAAGATTATGAAGATTCAAATGATCGATAAGCTTCAGGTTTGCTAACTTCGTAAACCCTTCCCCACAAGTTTAGATCTCCAGAAGTAGAGATCTCCTGATCTCCTGAAATTGAATTCTCCTTGATGTTGAGATCCCTTTGAAGTTGAGATTCCCCGAAGTTTAGATCTCCTGAAGTTGAGATTCCCTGAAGTTGTGATCTCCTGATATTTATATCTCCCTAGAAAAGTGAGAGGTTCTATCATTTTTACATAGCAACTGACTAGTTGTTCAGAAACTGTTATTTTGGATGGTCAGGCAGCACAGTAATAATTTATTGGTCTCCCACCTAGGCGAATGAGATGATGCAGGTGACCTTGTAATCATCGAAACGTTACACTCTAAATTTCTACTTGTTTTGTTATAAGAACTACTATTCTGTAGGCATGTAAGATTCCATTTTCTGGTAGCCTTGGTGAACAGGAATGACTTCACCCTGATGATCATGTGGGATTTTACTTGGGTACTCCAGTATTAGTTGATATAACAGGCTTTCCATGCAGAGTAAAAGTGACACTGTCAACTCACAGGAGCAGGTCCAAGTGAGACCAGTGTATGAATACCTGTTAATTGTCGTTGAGCCCCTTTTATTGGCACATGCCACTCTGAACAATCACATTAGTATTTTCTGGTGCAGGCAAATTTGGGTAGCAGTCAGGTCTAAATTTATACATTAGTTTTTCCAGTGTTAGGTAAGGTTATGTTTAAATTCATCGAGTGTACTAGATATAACTACTTTTTCAGTCAAAGTGTTCAACAAAATTACGCGTGATTGACCTGTACATAAATATAGATCAATTTCGTTATTTGACAAAAATTGTTACCACAAGAAAAAAAAGAAAAGATCTCCGGAGGACGCAAGATTTATCCAGAAAATAAATCAAAATGTCTGTTTATTGACAGCTGGTATTAGAGAAGAGAGTGTGCATGTTGTTTTATTTCAAGGCTGAAGTTAAGACATTGTAAGTTTTTATTGCTGTCGAGGTCCATCACTAAAATGTTCAATTTTTAAAATGGTAAATTGTCTGGCTGGATTCAGTTTCTGTCTATGCTTTTAGATATTTATGTTTAAGATTATCCAGTCGAAAGAAAAAGTACTCCCCTCCCTTCCTGAAGCACATATATGCAGCTGAAGAAAGTAGAAAGGCCTTAACGGATAGTCAGGAGTTTTTGTAATTTTCAAAAATTTAATATATATATATATATATATATATATAAGTAAATTGATACTAAATATGTAAATTTATGCTATATATAATGCTTTAGTGAAAGGCTATATAAGGTAGTGTTAGAGGTTTTAATCTTACATAGAGATTATCAATGCTGGAGGTCATAATCTTAAATTGAGATTTTCAGTGTTGGAGGTCTTAATCTTGAATTGAGATTTTCAGTGTTGGAGGTCTTAATCCTGAATTGAGATTTCCTGTGATGAAGGTCTAAATCTTAAATTGAGATTTCAAGTCATTTTGATCTTTAGATTGTATAAATGAAGGAAAAGTAAAACCTCTTAAAAAAACACAAAGAAGGAAGGAATAAGGGATGAGGGAATGGATTTAAAAATATGTTAAAATGTTCCTTGTGGAATTGTTTACAATATTGTTGTCTTTGACATGCAATATTGGTTTTGTCTGACTTTCATTCTGTGCACATTCTCAACCTTGTGTTTACACATGTCAGCAATTTAGTTTTTGAAATTGATTAGCTAATTGCATAGCTGTCAATCATGTTGAAACTACTAACCCAGTTGGTACCTTGTAGTGAAGTTTTCATTTCCTTGTTTATTGATTTTGATACGGAGGTCACGGAAAACGTAAGGCTGGTTCAGAGAGAAGGCAATGTTTATAGAGATTGGCAAGAGGTCAAGAAGATGAGTATTTATGGGAATTTTAAGTCCATCATTTAGGGGTCTCCTTTCCAGCAATATATAATCGTTAAATTTTTTCAACGTTTCCTGGCTAGGGATTTTACGTGGAGAGATTGATGGAAATCCACTCAGGATGGATAGTTTTTTTTAGGAAAAGTTGTGGATGTAAAAAAAATATTCTAAACAATAACTACTGGAACAGATCCATTACCAAATAATTATAGATTTCTTATTAGTGACATTTGTCTGTTTTTTATTTATGAAAAATGAAAACAAGGATAAAATTAGTAGGCATCAGATTGTAATCTATAGTGAAGAACTTGTGTTGTTTTAACACTTAATATAAACTCGTTGTTTTTCCTGTTTAGATTGAATACGAATAGATTAAATTATTTTGTATTGATATGGTGTTTTGGGAAATTTAAGCAGAATATTTTCATGAAAAATGGAAAAGCTTAGTGTTTTATGATATTGCCTTCAATAATTTGACACTTTCAGTAAGGCCTAAATTATATTGTCATGATCCATAGCAAAAATAAATCATATTTGTGATTGTTATAATGTTGTAAAAGTAGCAAGAAGGGGTGGAATTCATTAATACCGTTTGAATAAGGGGATGTAATATGAATTTGTATGAAGGGGAGATAATCAGACGTGAAGTTTTAATGTTGTCTGAAAGTAAAATTAGAGTGTGACTATCACACTTTGGCATCAAGACGTTGGTAGAAAGGTGACGACATTGAAAGGGAGAGCCAGGGGATGGTCGCAGACAATATCATTTGGGCAATTAAGGTAGAAAAGTACATAGGGAAATCAAAAAAGCTAGAACCGGCGCCAACAAATCAATTTTATAGTGAGGATATTGGTGAAGGGAAATTTGATCCCCTTTGTAAAACAGATTACTGCTGATGCGGTTATTGATTCCATGATTCTGTCCAAGGTACCCCCATGATGGATCCGAGAGTCTACATGGCAATGTTAAGAGCTATCATGTAAATCCTATTGATGTAGAGAATTTACATGGAGATGAAGTAATGAGAACCAAATTTATATACAATATTGCCATTCTTTACATAGTGTTGAAATCCAGTCTACAAGTTTTTCATATTCTATACATAGAAAATTATTTATTGATTTCTCATAATTGAAAATAGAAAAGAAAATATTATTGTGATTTATAAAAGAATAAATGACTTTATAAAATATTTCATTGAGGAAAACAGGATTAGGATTTTTCTAATGATTTGCTCGTAAATACTCCGTAAACGAGAATTAACTTGGAATGATCCAGATCTCTTCTCAGAAGTATACTCGGACAAGCTAAATTACTTTAAATAGAATTTGGTTATTCAGCAAAATAAAACAAATTAAACTTGTAAAAAGAAAATAGTTCAGACAAAAAGATTTCAAGGTTCACTCAGATAAACAAAAATAATCCATCAGGCAAAGTCAAATAGGGCTTGGTGACCTTTAGCATTTAAACGATGCAAATTAGTAATTTCGTGGAATTTGATCGTATAACATGATGTCCAATAAATTCAAGACGTTGGGATGGTTTTCCAAGTTTACAACTCAAAGATTGAAATCTTTATTTAGGCCATAGTCTCCTTGAATGGATAATATGTCTGATGAGAGATGGCTGTGGAATGATTTTAATGAAAAAGTTTCAAGGATTTTCTGCATGAAGTGTTCCAATAATATCACAATTGGTATTTAAGTAGACAGTGATTTCAATAACATGTTTGTCAGCAGCAGTACCCATATCTTGTTCTCTAAAAATGCTGAAAAGAATTTCACTGAAGTTGAAAACACAGTTGGCATAGCCTTGGTCTGTGGCGAGAACACTTCACTTGACTGGGGGTAGTAGAGAGAGCACAGTTCACATGGAAGGAACACTGTCCACATGGCCTTGGTCTGTGGTGAGAACAATGTTCGCATGACCTTGGACTGTGGTGAGAGCACTGTTCACATGACCTTGGTCTGTGGTGATTCACTGTCCACATGGCCTTAGTCTGTGGTGAGAGCACTGTCCACATGACCTTGGTCTGTGGTGAGAGCACTGTTCACATGACCTTGGTCTGTGGTGATTCACTGTCCACATGGCCTTGGTCTGTGGTGAGAACAAAGTTCACATGACCTTGGACTGTGGTGAGAGCACTGTTCACATGGCCTTGGTCTGTGGTGATTCACTGTCCACATGGCCTTAGTCTGTGGTGAGAGCACTGTTCACATGGCCTTGGTCTGTGGTGAGAACAATGTTCACATGACCTTGGACTGTGGTGAGAGCACTGTCCACATGGCCTTGGTCTGTGG